CGGCCCCCCTCCATGGCCCCAACCCCCCCCCCGGGGACAGGCCGGGGGGGGAGCCGCAGCCCTGTTAGTCTGGTGCAGCTGGAACCAAAGACAGGGCCCTGCAGCACTTAGAGACTCACAAGGTGGTTTATGAGGTGAGGAGCTTTCTGGGCCCAGGGCCGTGGGGCACTTAGAGACTCACAAGGTGGTTTATGAGGTGAGGAGCTTTCTGGGCCAGACCCACTTCCCAGATCAAAGAGTGGAAGAAAATAGTCACAAGCGTATGAACCAAAGGGGACACCCGCAACAGAGATGTAACTGCCTTACCCGTGACAGAGACGCTTCCCCACTTGTCACCCTGTGACTAGTGGGGGTACCTTGCTGGTTGCCAGGCTTGGGTTGCGAGTGACCTCCGCTGGCTGCAGCAGGGCAGGGGACGAGTCATTGTGCAAGGGGGCTTTGAACCTGTCTGACCAGCGATCTCCCAGGGAGCGGAACAATGGGACGAAGGGGAGGGGAGCGCTGGCTGGGGCAAGGCTGGAAGTGAGGGAGTTAGTTTCTGTCTGGGAGGATGGAGGAGACAGCCTAGGGAAAGGGGCTGGAATTTAGGGGCACATAGAAGCCGGACCCCCTACCCCATATCAAGGGGGGGGCTGAGGCATCCTAGGCCTGCCCTGGAACCAGATGACATCTGTGCTGTGCTGTATCCTGGAGAAGCAATAAACATCCTCTATTCTAGTGGTTGGTGGAATCTGTTCATGCCATTACGGGGGTGCAGGAGACAGGAAAACCCCAACCTGCCGTCACACACCCCAATACCATTATCTCATAGACACTAACCTCCCCCCATACTCTCTCTTTGTTCTAAAGTCTGATTTGTCAATTTTATGTGTGTTCACTTTTTTTGATTATATCCCTTTGGTATATATGGTCATGCCAATTTTCTTCCACAGTTTGATCTGAGAAAGTGAGTCTGTCCCACGAAAGCTCATTACTTAATAAACCATCTTGTTAGTCTTTAAAGTGCTGCATAGTCCTGTATTTTGTTTCAGAATTTGGGATCAGATCCTTGACGGATTGTTTCAGGATAGTTAATTGTATGGCACAAAAATGTTTGGAAGCAGCATTTTATGGCTATGGGGCTGCTAAAGCAAAAATATGGGCAGTATCTTAACCCCCAGAAAGGAAAAACTTGACTACTTCAGACCTAGGAAGGCTCTTAGCTGTGCATTACAATAAGGTGCTAATATTGCTGCAAATAGAAATCCTATCCTGCAATCAGATCTGCTTGGGTGAAATTACTGAAGTCAGTGGAGTTGTGTGTTGTTCGAAAGGTCTACCAATATGTAGCCCTATTGACTTTAATAGGCCTGTGTGTATGAATTCAGTTTCAGACTTGGAAACTTAGATATACTGGTTATTGATTGTATAACTGGTTTTGACATTTAGTGTAGGCTCTTAAAAGGAGCTAGTGATGCCAAATAATTGTTACTAATATAGTCCTGGAAAATTAGCATGGTCTATTTGTAAGATGGCCGATGTGTTTAATTGCATATATATTTCCCAACCAAATGCCATTATTGAATGAATGAATGAATGAATGAATGAATGAATGAATGAAAAGAGAAGTGTTAAATAAAAAACTGAAACACATAATAGGGATCTCGTGTGAGGACATTAAATACACATATTCAGAGTGGTGGTTGAAGATTTAGTTCAAAAGTTAATGTCTTACATTCTCGAGAATATATATGTTAAGGCTTAAACATAACACTTTCTCTATGGTACAAAGATAGCAAGCATATTTTTTATTAGAGGTCAGGTGTTAACTTCTAACCAATCACATGACACAGAACACGGGGATACAGTGTTCACATATTTGGGGAAGTGACAGGTAAAATAGCTAGTTGGAAACTTTAATGGATTGAGCCTGACTATACAGTGCAAATTGACAAATGAAACTGACCAACTTTCTCCTCTTATATTTGTCTTTGGCAATTAATAATTTTTTGGAGGGGGTCTGCCTTTGGTTTCTTCATTTCATTCCCTAAATATTCAGATTTTTAATTTTGATATTGACAAAATTTAAATAAGTGGTTAATGGGTTGCTCAGCACTTCTGAAAAGCAGGTGATAGTACAGGTTGAACCTCTCTAGTCCAGCACCCTCAGGACCTGATGATGTCAAACCAGGGTCTCTTGCACAAAAACAGAGCCTCATTAATTATGCAAATGAGGCATGGCGATATTCCACACTTTGCCTCATTTGCACATTTTTTTGCACAAGAGGGGGCAGTCTAGACATAGCCATAATGTGTTGTGTCTACATCTGTTGCTTACTGAAGATTTGTACTTCACAATTTTTAATTAGCATCACAAATTCCTGACTCAATGGAGTTCTTAAAGTGATATTCTATTCTTGGATTGGAAGTCAGGATGAACCTGTAATAAGTGCATCCCTTACCTGCAACCTTTTCTGGCTTGTATTGATTGTCCCCAAAACACAATCAGCATGTCAAAAGTTGCAAGGTTAATGCAATTGTGTAAAGGGTAATGCTCTGCCATTTGATAGAACAGTGAATCCGAAGGAGCTTTTAGCGAAAAGAGCAGATGGCAGCTTGTAATTGTTTCACAGTATACTTTATTCTGATATTTATAATCATAATCCACAGGTACAGGAGATGGGAAATTCCTTTTTTCTTTATACATTTAAGAAATATCTGTGCCTTTTAAATTCCCGGCTGACAGCATTTATAGTATGTCAGCATTTTTTGTGTCATGATAACTCCTATTTCAAAGGATAGCAAGACTATCTAGTAATATTATGGACAAGAGAATAGTGTCAAGTCACATCCCATAGGTCTTCTGCTCCAGTATGATTTGCTATTCTATGAAGGTTTGGAAGAAATTTTAAAGAAGACAGCTGAGTACAAATCAATATTTTCTTGACATCCCAAGTCCTCTTTCTCACTTTCCAATTTACATCTGTCCTCCAGAGATGACAAATCACAATATAGTCACCAAAGAGGCTTTCCATCTTCTAAATTACAGTATCTTTTTTTCTAATTTCACAGACAAAAAATGATTAAATCAGTCTTCACCTGTTGCCTAAAGGTATTTGCTAGATAAGGCATAGGCATAATTTAAAGCAATAAAACAGGCCTGTATCTTGTAAGATGGTAGTTTTCAACCTTTTATAATTTACAGACATATAAGATATCAAATGGTGGTATGGACCCTTTTGAGAATCTTAGCCATAGTCTGTTGACCCAAGTGCTGTGCCTGTGGACAACAGGTTGAAAACCACTGCTGTAAGACATTGATATAAGCAGTTAGCATGAAGCATTGAGACCTGTGAACTTTGGCATGGGCCCAAAGTAAGTGAATAGACAGAATTGGATAGATTCTAAGATACTGTGGTCTACTGGCTAAACTGGAATATGAAATCAGTTCCCCTGTCGTCTCAAGGTGAGGGCTGCTGGTCTGAGGCTGCCACTTATTCATCTTTAAGTACCTTTAATACTACGAGTCTCTGAGGGGAACCTTGTTAATCTGTAAAAACAAGGAGTGGTGGCACAGAATTCCTCATTTTTTAATATTACAATCAGTTCAACTAACGAAGCCCCTTAACACTTGTATAAATGTTAACTAGCACAGAATCCCCTTCTTGTGAGATTCTGAACACAAACAGCTTGGCTACATTGGCAAGATTTTGTGCAAATACTCTTTAACGCAAGAGTTTTTGCGTTGGAGTATTTGTGCAAGAGAGCGTCTACACTGGCATGTGCCTTTGCGCAAAAGATGTGCTTTTGTGCAAGAGCATCCGTGCCAGTGTAGACGCTCTCTTGCGCAAGAAAGCTCCAATGGCCATTTTAACCATTGGGCTTTCTTGCGCAAGAAATTCATGTTGCCTGTCTACACTGGCCTCTTGCGCAAGAACAATTGCACAAGAGGGCTTATTCCTGAGCGGGAGCATCATAGTTCTTGCACAAGAAGCACTGATTTCACACATTAGAATGTCAGTGTTCTTGCACAAGAACTCCCCGCCAGTGTAGACAAGCAGCAAGTTTTTGTGCAAAAGCGGTTGCTTTTGCACAAAATCATGCCAATGTAGACACAGCCCTAGTTATTAACATCAAATGAGAATGCAACCAGACTGCAATGAGGCTGATGCTGCACATCACCCCTCGCACATCCTTGCACAGTTACAATTGTAGAGACCTAGTGGCAGGAGACAAGTTGTTACCTATGAGGGCCCTACCTGGCTTCTGGTATGCCATGAGAGTCTGATGTTCAAGGAATGTCTTAAATGTCTCTGTTCGAGAGAGGTGTGTATGCACATGCATATGTGTGTGTGTTACTATTCTTCCCAGGAGGGCAGTACTCCCTCTATTGCAGAGTTTGTCAGCTAAGTAGAAGTAGTATGCTGAAGGCAGAGAAACAGAAAAGAGGAAGTCCCGAAATCTGAAAACATACAGTTTGCTAGGCACTATATTCTAATTCAGAAATTGATTTGGTTTTCTATTTAGATTTTTACTGCAGGTGAGTTACCTGCCTGGGCATAAGCTACAGGGAGGGGAATTGCCGCTATGGACCTTTCTCTGTTTGGTTGCCAAATCTGTCACTTGATCTATGGATTGTGAGTGTTGCAGCTTTGCATATTGGGCATTGCCAGCTGAACAATAATCTTAATAATACTGGGACTGATCTTGGCACAAGAACCTCAAACCTTAGAGTATTAACTGGGGATTCTTAAGTAATCAATATAAACATTAAATACTTTTGTTTGACTTTGGATTTGCAAATCCTTTCTATACTTGAGCAGGTGCAAAATCACGTGTTTATTTATTTTTCTTATCAGTCTTAACCCTGTTTTGGTTTCCTTATAACTGTTCAGCTGAACTATAAACATTTTTTACTCTCTAGTTCAATCCTTTGAGACATTTACAAGTTCTCCATAAAACAACTTTGTTGGAGAATTGATCATGCAAGAAAAATTCGTCAACATCAAGGGCCAGATCTGTATTATTTTGTGATTAAACCTAAGCTCGGAACCTGATGAGTCCTTGTATAGTTACTTTCCTGTAGCTCAGTTTTTTTATCTGGGAGACTTATAGAGCCTCATTTTGAGCCATAGACTGAAAGTACACAGGACCAGAATCTTCATTGTTAAGATAGCTTCAGTCTGTTGTAGTTGTCACAAAATTGGGTGTTCCTGTGAGCTGCAGAAACAAAGAAAAGATCAAACCGAACAGTTTGAGATAAAGTGCCTTGCTCAGTACCCTAACAGCACAAGGAATCTTGTGTCATAGGAGGCTATCATTTCTTCCTAACCTAGGGGATTAGGATGAAGGCTTCCATTTTAGTAAGAAGCATGAAGAAATAGACAGCAGCTGCACATCATATTTGACATTTTTTTATGTGACATATTTAAAACAAGACCGGAAGCACCAAGTTTCACCCATCAAAATTGTGAGCCAGCAGTTGCTGATAGGTCTTCAATTTTATTTCACTGGGCAGAAAATCATTTAAATGGCTTCTTAATAGATCACATAGACAAAATAACAGGAATATCCTTAATTTTTACCTTGATCCATCAGTCCACTAGCCCTCACAGAGGACACACCGATTGCAGTACATCATCTGTGTTGTTCTGTTCAGACCGTCAGCCACCTGCTGATAAGTCTGTCAGTTGCATTGGATATCCGATCAGCCTAGCCCAATGCAGCCTAGAACCCTTGAGTGGTCCATGAACCTCCACCTCCCAAATAATTGAGATTACACGCATGCACCACTATGCCCAATGTATTTTTTATTTTTTAAATCGTTTTTGAATTTGTCTAGGGTCACAAGATTTTTTTTTGGGGGGGGGTCTTTATGTCAAATCTTTGATTCTAACAAAATTATTTAATGTCTAAGAGGCTTTCAAAATGTACATGGAGGACAACTTAAGCAGCACACAGCAGGAAAGAGAAATGTATTACAATATCTATAAAGTCAACAAGGCTTTACTAGATTTCATTACAATAGTTCAATAAAGGCATTTGGAATGTCTTGAGTCTTTGATAGGATACTTCAACGCAATACATTTATTAAAATGCTACATAGAATTCTGTTCATTTCCTTAATGACTTTTTGAGTTTTGAAGTCTGGTCTTGTGCAGAAGTAGGTTCCTGTGGATGAGTTCTCAAGGTGTACTTCTTCAGAGATTTTACTTTTGTTGCATTGCTTCTTAGTTAAGGCAGTCCTAGACTGATAAAAGTCAACTTTATAGAATGAACAATTTTTTTTACATAAAATATTTTGATGGCATTTATAAACTGGCTAATATCAGTCCAGAATTCTATCTTGTCTCTTTATTCTGTTGTCTTTTTTCTTTTCCCTTGTGTTTAGTTTTACAGTTATGTGGTTTCACAAGTGAATGATTACTGTAGTGGAATTACTTAAACCGAGAGAGATGATACTGTGATTTTTGAGCAGTCTTTTTGGTTTTCTTTCTTCACCTGCTGGCAGAAACAATTCAACATCCCCAGAAGAGTGCAGTCCAATTTAAAGTAATAATATTTGCAAGTAGGAAAATTCCTGATTACCTGGCACGGCATGTAATTCTAAATGTCACATTTCTTTGCTCAATCATTAGCATTCTGAAAAACAGATGTAAATTTCTTTTCTATTTTTCATGCAGGAAGTTAGAGCACTAGCTTTTCAAAAGTACTCAGCTCAGTGTCCAGTTTAGGCACTTGCATTGAAATGGCTAGATTTTCAGAAAAGAACAGCACCCTCCAGCTCCCTTTGTTCGTATTATTTAGATGACCAAACGAATGCTTAACAGTTTGTAAAATTCGAACACCTCATTTGGGTGCCTGAAATGAAGAAGCAGGTTCTTGAGAAACTGGCCCTAAACTTCCAACACAAAATTACTTGAAATAAAGAGACATTGTTGTGTTTTTTTGTTTTTTTGTTTTTACTTATAATTACATATTTTAACTTTGCAATGAGCTTTCTTTCCCTGTTTGGTGTAATGTAAGGTGAACACTTTAAAATATAATACAAAGGGCAAATTTATAATATTAAAGAATACCAATTTCAGTCTGTTCCTCTGCATTGACAATATGTAATTTAAATGTTATGCTCAATGACTAATTTTAATTTTTTTTCCTTTTAGCATTGCAACATACTCTTGAGACTGTTAAACACATAAAGGTAACTTTAATTTTGGGATTTTGAGAATAAATGTATTTATTTATTTCTGTTTGTGCCCGCAGTGTGCTAGGATACTTTCAGACAGAAAAGAAGTAATTGTCCCTGCCCCAAAGAGATGTGCCTAACAAGATTTATCAGTCTTCTCATTTCTTTAACATCACAGCAAAGGAAAATACTTGTGAATTACTAATTTTCACTATTACAGTGTATACACTAGGTTTAATTCTGCGGCTAAGAGATTTTTTCCATTGACTTTTATGGGAGCAGGATCAGGTCTGACATTGGGTGAGATGGAGAAGAAAGGAAAAATCTGCATGTTCTGTGACAGAATTAGCCAATTAATCAATTAGGTCCCGGTCCTGCAAAGACTTACTTTAAGTACTCATAAAGAAATGCAGAAGTTCAAACAAACACATACATTTAACAAATTTTTGAACATTGTTTCTCTGTACTCTAAAACTGTTCAATATTTATTTCAGCAGCAAATTTTAAAGCAGTTTAACTTTAATCTTTGCAGGATCAGAGCCTTAGTAAAGATGCTTATTCTTTCTACTAAGCAGGGTAAGTGTTTTCACTAATGAGTGACAATTTTTATTGTAGGTTATTCTAGAATGTGTGCTGACTTTTGTTTCTTTATTGTTAGTGTTTTCATTTCCAGTTTGAAAGAACAATAGGTGTTTTGTGGGATACTGAAAAATACTATATTTAGGAGTAGTTCTGTTCCTATATCATTTTCTGACTTACCCTCTATTCTTTATTAAAAAAACCCCACAGCACCATTGTTTTTTCTCTCATCCCAATCCTTAGCACACTTGACTTTGCTTAGGTTGTAAGCTCGATGGCTAGTGCACATCAGAGTGGTTCATAGATGATATAGATGCAGAATTTCCTCCAAATAGAATATTTTCAGACGTTTTCACCCGGCCTCATAGCTCCTCAAATACATTTCTGATATGTTTTAACTTTGTGCCCTTTTGCTGTAGGTATAAGCAGTAAACAACATTGACATATTTCCACATATTAGGGTAAATCTGAGGCAGGAAAATTTGCTGCTGAAATAAATATTGAACCGTTTTAGAGTACAGAGAAACAATTTTAAAAAATGTGCTAAATGTATGTGTTTGTTTGAACTTCTGCATTTCTTTATAAGTACCTAAATGTTTGCATGGAAAAAAATCAAATATATGGGTGCAAATTGCATTTGTCACTGAAATGACGTTAATGCAAGGTTGCCTACTTTGAATGTGGAAATGTTGTTGCATATGTTTGAATGGATTCACATGAAAAAATCCAAAATGCACAAACAAGTTTAGATAGATGTTAGCCTGCTGGGGTTTTGTGACCACTGTCCTCATACTGACCAATATTATCATACTTTTCCTCGTAATCTGTCTGTAAATGTCTGTTGTCTCATAACGTATGCTTTGATTGTAAACTCTTTGGGGGCAGGGACCATCTTTTTATTTGATGTTTGTACAGTGTCTAGCATAATGGGGTCTTGGCTCTTGAATAGGGCTTCTAGGTGCTATATTAATACAAAATAATAATAATAAGGCCACACATAAAAATAAGGCCCTGTCTATCTCTACAGTACATTTTTAGTGCTAGATTTGGTGGTTTTGGTGAATAAACTAGCACCAAGAAATGAATTTTGAGTTCTGAATATTTAAGACGTCACAAAAGATTGATCAATTAAACTTGTATCAGGCATCTGACATCAGTCAATAGCAAATAGAAAGATTTCATGGGACATTGAAAATACATTTGTGAATGTTTTGGAATACCATCCCAGAGACTGGGATATGCACCTTCCATTTTTACAGAAAGCAAGGAGAACTGCTATGAGTTACTCAGCAAAATGCACTTGTCATCTTCTGACATCAGAAGACTACACGTTGAACCTATGTAATCCGATCATTAAAAGTTATAGCAAAAGTCCAGATATAGCTGAAATTTGTTTTATTCATGATATAGGTGCACTTGCAATTTCGTCAGCACGCCTGCCGAGGACGGTCTTGCCTCAGGCGCCAAATTAGCTAGTTACGACTCTGAGGAAAAGTGAATAGAAATGAATCGTTTAGATTAGGTGTTTCCCATTTTCTGAGCATCCGGCATAAGATACAGAGGTTGGATTTTTGGAAGTGCTGAGCACTCATACCTGTAACTGAAGTCAATGGGTGCTGTGCTTTGAACGTATAATGTGCTATAAAAATGCCTAGTGCTCTGAAAAATTAGCTGTAAGTGTGTGGAAGGGAACATGCAAAATTAGTGGACACTTTTGACAACAGCTTTGTACTTTAGTTTCCCGTCTTTGAAATGGGAATAATCCACTTCGTTTCAAAAGGCCATTGAGAAGATAGTCATTAATGTTTTAGAAGCAGTAAGATGCCATAGAAAAGCTCACATGTGAAAAGTAATAATTTTGTATTTAGTGCAGAGCTTGTATGGTAAACAAAGAGCGGGGTCACACATCAGATGAGGAGCATAAAAAGAAATATCGAATAGCTACCTGCCCAGTGCTTGATCCTGAACCATTAAAGTCAATAGAAATCTTAACTCTAATTTTCGCAGTAGTAGGGTCAAGCTATGAGTGAGTGTACATTCATTCTGTACACTCAATAAGGCAGAGCTCCGATGGAAAAAATAATACGTAATCATATAATTAAAGACTGTTCATGTACTTACACAAGGAAATCTTAATTTGCTTATCTCTTACATTTACATGCTTAATTTCCAGTCTTGGCATTTTTTTTTGGTACACAAAGTATATATACACACTACTATGCAAATAATGGAACGTGTGGTTTAAGATGGCAAAATGCTAATTATACAGTTTTGAGACTCTCAGGGTCCCAGGCAGAACCACCACAGTATTTGAAGTTTTAACATTTTAGCTAGCTGTGATCTTGCCAATGACATGTTTACCTTATGTGGCAGGAGTTAGAAGGAAGGCAAAGTTTTGACTGTGTGGTACAATAAATATGGGAAATTCACATTCTTTGGAATCTCTCATTCTCTCTTTTTTACCAGAGAGAGAAATTTAACTTTGAATTTGTTGACTTCAGGGTTTTTTTGTTGTCGTTGTTTTAATTATAGTGTTCTGACTAGGCCAAATTATTCTGTTTGAAAATCTGTCTTAATTATTGCCCCCGTAATAATGGAAAAGGGGCAGCTTTTTCTCTGGAAGTGGGTGACAGGGAAGGAATCATGTGAGGATTACCTGTTCTGTTCCCTCCTTCTGGGGCATATGGTATTGGCCACTGTCCGCAGACAGGATACTGGGCTGGATGGACCACTGGTCTGACCCAATATGGCCGTTCTTATGTAGACTAATAATATGAAGAAAAATATTGTTATAATAAAGTAGAAGTCAGATTTCAAATACATTGTTTTTATGCTTAACAGATCACTGTGAACCCAACCTCTTCTATCCAGGTTACAACCTTAGGAACAGACAACTTAACAATTTATGGTAAGAACTCCTAGCTCTCATTTACAGCAATGTGTTTGCAGATCCCAACTGTAAAATTGCATCATTCAGATTTTTGTCGACAAGATCTGTTTCAAGCAGCTAGCTCTTGTAGAATTGTGCCTCTGTCCATATTTCAGCATTCTATAACTAAGAATAGAAAAGTTCCCAATTTGCAGGCTTGCAAAAGAGAAACTCCATGCAAATGCCCATCATAATTCATTTAAGGAGGCAGGGTTACATTCAAAATGTCAAAAATCATAGATTTTCTATAAATATGAAAATCATTAAAAGTTATGGCAAAAGTCCAGATATAGCTGAAATTTGTTTTACTCATGATACAGGTGCACTTGCAATTTCTATGAGTGTACTTTATAATTATTTGGTAATCTTTTATAGAATCACATACTATACCTTTTGGATCAGAAGAAAAGAAAGAAGAAAAAACCCTGAAGAGCCTCGTGGCGATTCTGCAGGATATGATACAAAATGTTCCTACACAGGCTTCACCAACTGAGCAAACACTCTTTACACCCAATATAGTAAAATCATATGTCAATCAGAGTATTGACTCCCTTTGGTTAAATGTAGGCCAAAAATATGGTATAAAACAAAAGAAGTCAAAGAAAAAATCTGCTGTTACGAAAAAAATTACTGTATCTACAACAACACCATTTTGGAGACTTCGAACTGACACTGACGTTTCGGTTGTTTTACACACTAATGAGTCTTCTAGCTCAACAACCCCCCTGAAAAAATTATTTATGACATACGAAAATGGTGTTTTAACAAAAAAGAGTAAAACTTTTGATCAGTTAACAAATGGATCCCTAGAAAATCTGGTGCAGTCTTTAAAGTATGTACAAAAACTCAAAGAAACAGAAAACATCACCAAAAAAGTAGAAAAACAGAAACATGTTGCAAAGGTGAAAAAGCTACATGTATATGACACTGTGAAACATCAACCCGTAGGTGAAGCAATCTTGGAAAAGATTAAAAAGCTAAAAAAATTGTTACAGAAACCACCAGATTATGTTAAACAAAATCCACATCTCAAAGAGTATGTTGAATCATCTGAAAGCTATATAAAGAAAGCTCTTATTGTGGAAAAAGAAGCGGAGGCTTCTCTAGGTCAACTGTATCACCAGCCTAAACCATCACCTCCAGAAGAAAAGGTAGAAGAGAAAACAGTAGAAGTAGAAGAGGACACAGCAGAAATCAGAAAGCTAAGAGCATTTATTAACCTGCTGTATGATTTTAGTCCTCAGCTAACTACATATATTGATAGTTCCAACAAGAAATATGTCCCAGAGGATATTAGTAAAAAAGCTACGGCTATTCTTGATGCTATGAAACATGTTTTCTGTGGAATTCAGGCAGAGCAAAACAAAAAAGTGTTGAAAAAGTTGCTAGAGGATGATATAAAGCTTTTAAATATAGTTCTTAAGAACCACACATAGATTCTTTACAATAGTTATTCTGCATTTATTTAAAGATCAATTTTCTAGTTTGTCATTGTCATCTAGGCCTGATCTTTGTTGTATTAATATTCATCTCAGTAATTAAACACCATTTTCAAAAATGTTCATTTTCAGTGTTTACCATGGTGGGTCGTTGACCTTGGATAAGCTTATTCTGTTGTAAAATTTGTGTTGGCATCTGAATGAATCATGCTTAGGTACATTGTTAGTTTAAAATCTTATCATTTCCTTTGCAAGGGTTGTTCCACAATGCTTCTATAATACATGCCACTTAGTATAAAGGGCTGAGGTAAAACACTTAGTCTTTTAATGTTTATTTTCTAAAATTAAATAACACCAAATAGATCTACACTCTTGGGCTCGTGACTCTCATTGATAGGAGTGCAAAGATAGGAGTTCCTGTAGCTATCGAATAAACACTAAGAAGCAACCCTTGCCTCGTTCTTGTTCACAGGTAGCGAAGGTCCTAACTGCAGTCAAACTATCATGGTTTAGGAAAGGAGGTGGGCAGCAATGGGGCTTCTGGGAGCACTCCATAAGAACATAAAATAGTCATACTGGATCTGACCAAAGGTCCACTAGCCCAGTATTCTGACTTCTAATAGTGGCCAATACCAGGCACTTCAAAGGGAATGAAAAGAACAAGTAATCAAGTGATCCATCCCATCACCTGTTCCCTGCTTTGTGCAAACAGAGGCTAAAGACATCATCCTTACCCTTCCTTATTAATAGCTATTGATAGACCTATCTTACTTGAGCTTATCTAGTTCTTTTTTGAATCCGGTTTCAGTGTTTTGACCTTCACAACATCCTCTGGCAAGGAGTTCCACAAGTTTACTGTGCATTGTGTGAAGAAATCCTTCCTTTTGTTTGTTTTAAACCTTCTACCCATTAATTTAATTTGGTGATCCCTCGTTTTTTGTTATGAAAAGGAATAAATAACATTTCCTTATTTACTTTCTCCACACTAGTTATGATTTTATAGACCTCTATCGTATTCCCTCTTAGTCATCTCTTTTTCAAGCTGAAAAGTCATAATTTTATTAAGCTCTTCTCATATGGATGCTGTTCCATACCCCTGATAATTTTGTTGCCCTTTTCTATACCTTTTCCAATTCCAATACAGCTTTTTTAAATGTCATGACCACATCTGCACCCATTATTCTAAATGAGGGTGTGCCATGGCTGAATACAGAGGCAATATTTTCTCACTTATCTATCCCTTTTCTAATGATTCCCAACATTCTTGTTAGCTTTTTTGACTGTTGCTGCACACTGAGTGGATGTTTTCAGAGAACTACCCCAAGATCTCTTTCTTGAGTGGTAATACACAATGATGAGGTCTAAATTAGCTGTGTGTGTGTGTGTGTATATATATATATATATATATTTATGATTGGGATTGTTTTCTAATGGGCAGTTCTTTCAGTTATCAACACTGAATCCTAGTCCTCATGGGGGCTTTCCGTTATTGGACCTCTTTCTCTGAAGGACGGGAGCACAGGAGAAGTGCATGCATGATCAATGAATCTTCTACCATGTGGCTCTCTGGACAAATGCAGACAGAGAGCCATGATAAAGGGGATTTTCCTAGACTGTAGGAGTTGTGTTGGTACTCTGGGCTGGAAAAGGAATGATTTTTGCCTGTCCTCCAACTTCTGAGGATATTCCCAATCCAAAGCTTATCCAACATTTGACCCCAAGTGAATTTTTTGACAAGCCCCCTCCCCCATAGCTCTTCCCTTTGTTTGCTGGAGTCCATGTTTTTCTTATGTCTTGAATTTGTTTAAGGCTTTTGAGATTTACTTTTAAAAGTAAGTCCTACTGAAATAATAGGGATCCGAGAGCATTCCTGGGGACTTCTTCCTGATTTCACCAGATACCTCATGTGGCCTTTGAAGAGGAGATAATCCAAATCAACCATGCTTTCAAGTTGGGCTAGGGTAGATGCCCAGACCTGCAATATGATTATGGATTCAGAGAGTTATCTCCTGAATTCTACTGTATAAGTTCTTCTTACAGAGCCATATTTTTGCTCAGTAGTCCCCAAAAGGTCAATGAACTTTGAGACCTAGAGGATGAAAGACAAGCCGTGTGAAATGATATCAAATCAAAGGCTCCAACTATTTGTTCCCTTTACCAAAGGAAGCTTGCTCTCTTATGTTATATGTGCAAGTTGTTCTTAATTTAAATAATTTATACTTTTTGTGGCTTGTGCGTAGTCACTAGCCGGTGTATATTGTTTGTTTTCTTAAGATTTCTTTTTAGACAACTCAAGTTTTTAAAGATTTTTGTCATACACTGTTCCTACTTTTCTGTGTATTTTTCATCTATGAGTGTTAAAATGGTTTGAAAATTGAAACTTCAGAGGGTTTTTTTGTTACTATTTAGATTTTCATGTTAAATCCATTTGATCATATAGATACGGTGGTTCAGTATCTCTGATGTGGAGTTTCTTACAAATTTTTCTAATAAATATTGGCTCATTCCATAATAGTACCAATCTAACAGTCGGACTATTGCAACCTGCTCGTTATTAGTCTTTTAGTAGAAAATATATTTCTGGCTTTTAAACATATCCTTTCATTCTGTTATTGATTTGGGATACTTATTTAAAATATCAAAGCTCTGCTGTTTTGTTGTTTGTCTCCCCCTTTCCCCGAAGAAATCAGAAACAAGAAGTTTGACCAAATCAGCAGTTGGCTTGACTCATTGGTTGGGCAGGTAGTATCTTCCTAAAGAAATAGAAAAGAGACATGGGAGAGAAAAAGAAACCAGAGAAGACAACAGAATTTAGATCCTCATTGTCATATGACAAGGCTTTATAAATGTTGACAATCTTAGTAAAGAAGAGAGAAATAAAGCCAGTAGGGTCAAAAGATGAATTGTCATAGGAAAATCCAGAAATAGAGATTACATGAGAGACCAGAAGTTTGTCATCTGGCATGTACATAAGAATTTGTCAAACTGTTTTGTTATGAATAATTATTACGAATTTAGCTCCTGTTTCAATTAGTGAATAATTCACAAACCAAGATTGATTTTTTTCAATGTACAGAATTTGTTGATTGTCAGTATTCACTTGTGGACAGGATAAGTAATTGACAGCATGTCACCTATTTGCAGCTTGTTCATGTTGACTTTGCTTTTGGTATTCATAGACTCGATTGTCTGTGTCTTAGGGTATGTCTACACAACAAAGTTATTTGGAAATAACAGCCGTTATGTCGGTTTAGCGTTTACACAGCCAAACCTCTATTTTGAAATTAAATCAAAATAGTGGCGGGCTTATTTTGAAATTGGTAAACCAATCCACGAGGAATAGCACCTATTTGGAAATTACTATTTCGAAATAAGCGCCGTGTAGATGCTTATTTCGAAATAGGAGGCCTCCAACCCTTCCCAGGGTGTCCTGGTAGCCACTACCACGAAAACTCCTCTCCCTTTACCCCTCCCCGGAGCCCTTAAAGGGGTAGACTCTGGCCACAGTGCCTGTGCCAGCTCCAAGCCTGCCAGCCCGGAGCCAGCAGTCATTGCCCCGACCCAGTGGCCCCAGCATGAGCAAGGCAGCCAGTGCCAGCTAGCCCTTCACCACTCCCCAGGACCAGTTTGCCAGCCCCCAGGAGCCTGTCAGGGGCCGGAAAAGGCGGGCACCTGCCTGGTCCAGGGTGGAGATCAGAGACCTAATTCAGGTTTGGGAGGATGCCTTCAACATCCATGATCTCCGCACTAACCGGAGGAATGCAACCACGTAAAGGCGGATGGCTTCCAGCCTGGCTATCAAATGCCACATGCGAACCCAGGAGCAGGTTCGCATGAAAATAAAGGAGCTTAAGCAGGCATATGCCAGGGCCACAGGGGTCAGCTCCTAGCCGGGGCAGACCCAGACCCCTGCCCCTATTTTGATGCTGGAGATTGCATCCTGGGGGGCAGGACAGTCCATGCCCCTCAGGTGGTCATCAACCTTGGGGCAGAGCTTGCTGCCTCCTGCTGCTCCAGCCCCTGCTGCCTCCCCAGCTACCACTCCTTCTCCCCCTCCCTCCTTTCCATCCTCCCCACACCCCGAGGGACACTGAGGCTCCCGCACCCGTGGTGCTTGGAGACAGTTGGGCCAGCGAGGCCCTGAGCTTCTCCTTCCCCTTGTCTCCCCCTGCCAGCTCCATCCTCCCCTCTCCCACCTTCTTTCCCCAGTTTCACCTCAGTTTCATTCCCTCCCACCCCAGTTTTGTTCAATAAAGACGCTTTGTTGTAATGAACACGTGTCTTTTATTGTACAGCAGGAAGGGGGGGCTAGGGAGGGGTAAGTGGAAGGCCGTGAGGGAGGAACGAGGCACAAGCCCCCAGTAGGACACACCAGGGAGACTGTTACTGCCTGCAGAACGTGCTGCCAGGCTCACAGCAACAGGTCCAGGAGAAGCACCAGAGTGCCCAGTGGTGGCTCCAGCTCCATGCTGCAGAGTGCTATGATGTCCTGAGTGGGGGCAACCAGAGCACACAGAGAAAAAAATGCTTTGCTGGTCCTCAGTGAGGTAGGCAAGCAAGCAGGGAAACCTTAGAACTGGCTGTCCGGGGGCGGGGGCTCCCTTTAAGCACAGGTCTCAGATACCTTGTGTGGCTGCTGCCTGAGGCTAACTCCTGACCTGATGCCCTGTCAGAGCCAGTTCTGGCCAGCCTTACATGCAATTCAGCATCCTATCAGTGTGGACGTGCTATTTCGAAATGCATTTTGTGTTTAGACGCGTTATTTCGAAATAAGCTATTTCAAAATAACTATTTTGAAATAATGCTGTAGTGTAGACATACCCTTAAGGTGTTAATGCTGCTTCTCGACTGTTTTATTGAAACATTTTAAGTATAATTTGAATAGAGAATAACAAATACTGCACTTTCTACTACAGGTTTTGGACAAATAATCACTTGTTATAAGTTTTATTAATTTTTTGGGGTTATAAACATTTTCACCACTATGTGGCAGCTGCTGAATATCTGCGATTAAAAGAAAAAGACCTTTTAGCAAACTGAACTTATTCCTTTTATTCATTAAAATATTAACATATGAGTTTAATTGTTCAGCCTGCCCTGAAGTGGACTTGATTTTGTTC